AAAACAAAACACAACGAAACACAACGAAACACAACACAACGAAACAAAACAAAACAAAACAAAACACAACGAAACACAACACAACAAAACAAAACACAACGAAACAAAACAAAACAAAACTGGCACGGCACAAAAATTCTATTAGAATTTGAAGAATAGTTCATATTGAAAAAAATATTGATATTAATAGATAGATATTAATCTATTAAGGACAACCATCTCCCAGTTGTTTACATTATGCACAGTTAGCATTATGTAAACAAAACACAATGAAACACAACAAAACAAAACAAAACAAAACACAATGAAACACAACAAAACAAAAAACAACAAAACACAATGAAACACAACAAAACAAAACAAAAAACACAACGAAACACAACAAAACAAAACTCAACAAAACAAAACAAAACACAACAAAACACAACGAAACACAACGAAACACAACACAACAAAACACAACTAAACAAAACAAAACAAAAAAACAAAACACAACAAAACAAAACACAACGAAACACAACACAAAACAAAACAAAACAAAAAACACAACGAAACGAAACACAACAAAAAACAAAACAAAACGAAACACAACGAAACAAAACACAACGAAACACAACAAAACAAAACACAACGAAACACAACACAACAAAATACAACTAAACAAAACAAAACACAACGAAACACAACAAAACACAACAAAACACAACAAAACACAACAAAACACAACAAAACACAACAAAACACAACAAAACACAACAAAACACAACAAAACACAACAAAACACAACAAAACACAACGAAACACAACAAAACACAACAAAACACAACAAAACACAACGAAACACAACAAAACAAAACAAAACACAACGAAACACAACAAAACACAACAAAACACAACGAAACACAACACAACAAAACAAAACACAACGAAACACAACAAAACACAACACAACAAAACACAACGAAACAAAACAAAACAAAACAAAACAAAACACAACGAAACGAAACACAACGAAACAAAACACAACAAAACACAACAAAACAAAACAAAACAAAACACAATGAAACACAACAAAACAAAACACAACAAAACAAAAAACAAAACACAACTAAACACACAACAAAACAAAACACAACGAAACAACGAAACACAACACAACAAAACACAACTAAACACAACAAAACAAAACAAAACACAACACAACAAAACAACACAACAAAACAAAACACAACGAAACACAACAAAACAAAACACAACGAAACACAACAAAACACAACAAAACAACAAAACAAAACAACACAACACAACACAACAAAACAAAACACAACGAAACACAACGAAACACAACACAACGAAACAAAACAAAACACAACTAAACACGTTGTGGAAACGAAACGAAACAATAAATACATACATAAACTGATTTTTTTTTCTCACAAAAGAGAGCTTTTTAAATAATTAATGAAATAAGCAGCTTACACGGTTTTTAATTGACTTTGGACTAGGTAATGTTCTTCTGTATTTGGGAATAAAGGATTCCTGAAAGTGCTCTCTCTCTCTCTCTCTCTCTCGCTCTCTCTCTCTCTCTCTCTTTTTCTCTGGAGAGGTCACTCACACGAAGCTTCAAAAGAACATTTTGTTTGTTCAATACCAGAAACATCAATGACATTCCCTGATCATTAATTTCCGATCCAATCCGAGCATAATGTATGGACATGGAGTGGCCTGTTCATGTCCAATAAAAGCTTTTCTTTACCACTTTATCTGATACATCCTCAAAGATCCACAACACAAAATATTAATGACCTCTGTCCCTGAAAGAGCCATTTCTCATGGAGACAGGGAGAACTGAAGACTGGCCACGTGCAGCAAAACCTGCGCACACAGTCAAGCTCAGTTTACAGAAAGAACTGAAGTGAGACACTGGGGAACAGACACATGGTGGCAGAGCTATATTAAACGGCTTTGGATACGAGACATTCACTCGTACATAAGACTGTTCAAACACAATCTCAGAAGCCATTCAGAACAAGGAACCGACTGATGCAAATTGTAAACAAAAAAAGTTCTCTAAAAATTGCAGGTGCAGATGCAAAAATCAATTTATTTATTTGATTTATTGTTTTGTTGTGTTTAGTTTACATTTAGCTTATGTAAAGACAAGACAAGACAAAAAAAATAGTTTTTTCTTTTTGTTTAGCTTTCTTGTTTTCTTTTGTTTTTATTTTCTTATTTTGTTATCTTGATTTGTTTAGTTTTCTTGTTTTATTTTTGTTGTTTTGTTTTCTTACTGTTCCCATTTTGTTTGCTTGTTTGTTTTTGTGTGTGTGTTGTGCTTTATTTTGGTTTCGTTCGTTTTTCCTTCTTTGTTTTTGTTTTGTTTTTCTTATTTAATGTTACATTTTTTGTTTCCTTTTTCCCAGATTATTTTTTTGTGTGTGTGTGTTTTGTGTTTGTTTCGATCGTTTTAAGTATAATCTAGTCTAGAGGTTTCGTTGTTGCTGTTGTTTTTTTGTGGTTCAAATCAAGTTTGGTTCAAATAATTATTTTTAATTAACCAATTAAAATGGCAGCTGAAATTGATCTGTAATAATCACCATGCACCTTTGTTGAATTATTTACAAGCAAATTAGACAGAAACCAGTAAACAGAACTCTACAATTATCTTCTCAAAAAATAGTTCTCATTAAATAAATCATATGCAATAAAATGTAATGCAATATTTGTGAGTAATGTGCTGTTACATTAGCTATATACAGTATACATGTACACATATGCACCACTAAATAAATACAAACTAATGATTATGAAATAGCTGATAGTCTAGTCAAGTTAGTTATTGAACAACTAGTTACAGACTCCTAGTAAGAAATCATAATTAACTATAGAAAACAACATAACATTTATGCCTATAGAAAAACAACACAAGTCTTTGGAATGTCCCCATTCATATAGTGTGCAACTGTGTGTTTGTGTGTGTTTAACCCATGTCTAACAGTAAGCGAACAGCACATGAATAGGTATGAATGCAGCTAATCATGTTTAAGTGTAAAGCCCAATCAATGCATGAATACATTAAGCAGGTGTAGTGGAGCAGGTTGGGTGGCCGCTGTAAGATGCATTGCACAGATGATTGGTCACAACGAGCCACGGAAACACGATCAATAGCAGATATAGTGTGTAAACCCAAGAGGAATGGCAAACACCAATGAGGCGGAGTGAATTTGTTTCACTTTCTCTGTATTGGCTGTGCCCTACACACAATATGGAGATCTGTTTTTTTTATTATTATTATTATTATTTATCTGGAGAAGACAGAAAGGTAGGGTCTTTTCATGAAAAACGTTTTATGATGTAATGTGCTCATTAACATATGTGCGCCCACATTTACACATCTAAACACCTAGATGATGAATGACAGTTTAAGCTGTTTACAAAGGTCATTTGCATATAGAATTCTGTTGTAATAGATTATAATTGTTTTATTTATTATTAATAATAATAATAATAATTTAAATGTCACTGTAACAATGTGCCTTGGAAGATGATATTTTAATGGATTAATGAGGAAGCAAAAATATGAATAACAAAAGTTATTACCAGCCAATTTTTTTTTTATAAATTAAAAAGAAGCCAAAAAAGAGCGTAGAGATGTCAGACATAGAGTATACATATTTCAAAATGGGCAAAAAAAGTAAAAAAGTAAGACAAACAAGAGAAAAGCTAATTAAATTAAATTAAACAATAAAAATGTACAAAAAAAGAAGCCAAAATAAACATCCAGAAGTTAGATAAGCTTAAGATAAAATAGATATGTTGCAAAGTGGGCAGTAACTAACTAATTAACTAACTAACTAACCAAATAGAAACAATTAATTAAAAAGACATGCATAGATATGTTAGATATAGGGTTTTCAAACAAAAAAACTAAACAAACAAACAAAATCATTAGGATTATTTAAATTTCACTGTAACAATATGCCTTGGAAGAAGACATTTTAGTACATTCATGAGAAGGCAAAATGTGTATCACAAGAGTTTGGCTGATCACATCATTCACTTTTTATGGAATAGTTAATTTCGAGTTCTCTTTTTTTATGTTTGAACAATGTTTAAAGTGACTTTTTTTAAATAGTCCTACGTGAACCCCTAAATGAACAATTTTTTTATATATTTTCTGACTGCCACTGATAAGTATGAAAGATGCGCTTCACATTTAACATATCAGAAGGTTTAAGCTTGATTCTGTTCAGCAAAATGCACTCGATATTTCCAGCTCTCTCGATGGTTGTTTATTCAGGTCTTATTTGAGCACTCTGGAGGTCAAAGGTCAGCTCAGTGATTCATGCACGAATAAGTGTGTCGACCAAACAGCATTAGATCACTTACAGTGACCTTTGTCCCCTCGCCATTACAATGAGAATTATGTAAAGTGATAATGCACATTAAAAGCATTCTGCTCTACAACGTGATTTGGCTCTTTAAAGCGAGCAGCTAGCTGGAAAACAGAGCTGTTACCTCTGATGTTTGGACCCTTTAATATTTATTCAACTGAGCTTAAAGCTTTTAAAAACAGAGTGTCAGTAAATCAGTGTTGATTTTTGATACCGATTGTTTGAAGAGAGTCTGCACAGTATGTTTGTGTTTTGTCTGCATTACAATTCACAGTGTTCCGAACTGTTTTTAACAAAAAGGGTTCGGTAGCCAAACGTGTGTATATAAATGTGTGTGTTTGTCACAGTTATTGTAGTGCAAAACTAAGACTGAGAGTGAAATTAAATCTATTTATTTAGATAAAAACAAACAAACAAAAAACTTAAACTACATAAAAACAAAAACAATGGTTGAATAACAAACCAAAATAAAAAATAAAATAAATTGAATAAAATCAAAAAGAAGCTAAAAATAGAAATGCATAGATGGATGATGGATGGATGGATGGATGGATGGATGGATGGATAGATAGATAGAGAGAGGGATGGATGGATGGATAGATAGATAGATAGATAGATAGATAGATAGATAGATAGATAGATAGATAGGCCAAAAAAAAAACATGCGTAAGATGTCAGATATGTATAGGGTAGATATGCTTTCAAGTGGGCAAACAAAACAGAACACCACCACAAAACAAAACAAACAAGAACTAAAAACCAAACCAAAATCACTGGGTGTGCTAATGGTCTGTTAATACACAAAGTACAAGCTGTTATACACGCTGATCTTGCAATATTCCTGTTCACATGTACATTTGTTTGTCTTGCATGCAGAAATCTGACAGGAAGTGGCCCTTTCCTCAACCATGAATCTGCTTTCGTTCCCGTGGTCAAATACATTAGTGAATCTTAGTCTCAAAGCCCGCATCAGTCCAACAAAAACACAATCCGAGCTGAAATCCTCAGTTCTGATGCTCTCGGGGTGCAGAGGTGTTTCCAAGCAGGCAGAGCCGGTCATTACCGATGTGAGATGCATGGATCTGCAGATGTATGGAGCTGATACCTTTCCCGATCATCCCTAACCTCCTCATCCCACTTTTCCTCCAGAGAGCTGCTTACATGCTTTGAAAATAATTAGCAGTGGGAGAGTTATTGAGTGAGTGGCTGTGTTTAAGTTAAACTGATGAAATGGAGGTGTGTGTGCGGACGGCGAGTGTGTGTATAAGTATGCGCCCATGGGTCAAAGGTTAATCCCTATTGATTCAGCAGCAGTCTGCATACAGCACCGCTGGGAGACAGCCGCCTCTGTTGGCAATCAACTAGCACAAATACATGATAAATCTTACTGTCTGCGGCCACTGATCAGCACAGGCAAAGCACAGCCGCTACAGACAGAGACTCCGGTAAACAGCCATCAGACCCGCAGAAGCAAAAGCTACCCGTCAACTCCATCTGCTTCCATCCAGGCTAAAGAACCGTCAGCATTAACTAGCGTGTGTGAGAATGTGACATAAGGTGTGCAAGTGTTCATGTGTGGTCTCCATCTGACATTAACACTTGCTGAGCGCCAAACGCAAGCAAAATTGGCTTTGATGAGCAAACAAAACGGTGCCGGCCAGTTTGTTTGTGACTTTTAAGGTATTTAAAGATACATTTAAATTTAAAGATATTTGTTAAAAATAACAACATTATGACACGTTTTTGTTTCGCTATTTATTTATTTATTGTTTGTTTTATTTCCTTATTTATTTTTATTTTTGTTGCTTCATGTTTTGTTTTTCGTATTGTTTTTTTGATGTATTGTTGTGGCATGTTTGTGTTGTTATTTGTGTTTTGTAATTTTATGACCTACATTTTTTTGTTTTGTCTTCTGTTTTGGTGTTGTTTTACATTTTGCTTGTGTTTTGTATTATGACCTACGCTTTGTTTTGTTTCATTTTCTATTGTTTCATGTTGGTTTTCTTTTTTCTTTTCTTTTTTGTGTTTTGGTTTTCCTGTTTTCAAATTTTTTTTTGTTTTGTTTTTTTGTTTGTTTTTTGTTTTATGTGTGTGTGTTTTAGCTGGTTTGTTCTTTTGTTGTTTGCATTTTGTAATTATTTATGACCTGTGTTTTGTTTTGTTTCTCTGTTTTGTTTCTTTTTTGTTTATTTGTTTTGCTTTCTTTTTAGTTTAGTTTAGTTTTGTGTGTGTGTTTTCAGCTGGTTTGTTCTTTGTTGTATTTTCTAATTATATGTGACTTGTGTTTGTTTTGTTTCTCCGTTTTGTTTTTGTTTTTTTTGTTTATTTATTTGAATATTTATTTATTCGATGTTTGTTGTGTTTTGCTTTTTAGTTTAGATTTGTGTGTGTGTGAGAGAGAGAGAGAGAGAGAGAGAGTGTGTGTCTGAGTGTCTAGTTCTGTTTTGTTTTATTGCTGTAAATCAATGCAAATCACTAATTTTTAATGCATTTTATTGCTCACCCAGTCAAATAAAACAAAAACCTAACTTTAAATATGAGTTATAATAATAGTGATACTTGACTTGGCAAACAAAAGCAGTTTTGTTGATAATAAAAGTGTTTAAATGTATTTCTTTAATTTTCACAATTTGTCCGTCATTGGCAGATAACTGAAAGTACTGTTTCAGTACTAAGTTGATTTCAGTACTGAAAGGAACATGCTATAAACACGTCATCATCTGACCGATGGGTGATCAATGTCAATGTCAAAGAAACAGGAACATCAATCTTCTGTAATATTATCAGCCTTATTTTGTCGAATAATTTCTAATTAACAATTACTCTCCCTTGTTATGAGGTGAACACACTCATGGATATTTAATAACCAGTGTCGAATAAAGTGGAGGGGTCACCGAAGGTCGCAGGTTCTCATTACCCCGTCTGGAAAGAGTTCAGATGATCATTACAAACGAAATTAAGTGGTTACTTATTCACACAGAGCCAAACAAATGAGAGTAACCTGACAACACACAAAAGCCAATTAGAAAAATATTAATAGCAGCTTTGATAAAGCCATCTATAGGCTATTAGATAGTCAATGTGAAAAATACACAACTGGATTTGTGATGAAACGGCTCAGAATTTAATTTCAGGCCCAACGGTGTCTCTTTGGGACGGTTGGAGAAACATAATGTAATAATGTTTGCCAAATCAATAATAATTCTTCGTTTTTCCCTCTTAATCTTTTCACCTCTCTGCTTTTCCCCCCTCAATATCATTCTGTCTCCCCTTTCTCTTCGTTTTATTTTCTGTTCTCCATTCACTACCCTCTTCCTCCGTTTTAACTCTCATTCGCTCTGTCCCATTCCCTCCCTCTCTAATCCGATCATGCAGGGAATAAGTGTATGCACCATGAACACATTTAATTTTCCCAGTTGGTTTTCAGCAGGCCTAGAGGTGTGCTTTAATAAGGATCAATGGCACTTTATCTAGGACAGGACCCACTTCACAGCATGCAAATTAAACACCAACACTTACAGAAGAAAGGGGGAAAAAAGGAAAAGAAATGGATTTAATTAAAAAAATGTAGAACCACAGGCTCTGGGAATTCAATTAAAGGATTTATGCAAAGGTTGGCTAGCTTTTGGTGTTGCAGTTACTGTTTGTATAATGAGCTTTTCATATTAAAAATCAATAGGTAATCTAGGGTGGAAGATCAACTGCTTACGTACATTTTTGAAATCAATTTGAAAAATAGTCCATCAGCCACATATCACAAAAAACAGGCCTCTATCAGGGTAGATATGGATCTGGAAGCCTGATTTTAGGGGAAGCAGTTGGGAATTCTGGGAAAAGGGGTGTTTTGAGAGGGGTTGGGGTTGGGGTTGCAAAGATGCCAGGTTTGAGAACCAAATAGGTTTGAGCCATATTTTTTTAAAGAAACCAAACATTGTGATTGTCGAGGTCATCGTCTAATCATTAGCACGTGTGCTCCAACACATTCATGAGGACAAAATTTCATGCCACTCATGCAAATTTAATCTCTTATGGAGCATAATTCATGTCATGACAGAATTACCAAATTTATGACTTTCCAACTTTCCGTAAAATGGTTGACCCTTATGAACATTCTGAAGCAGAGTTGTCATTACACTGTAATTACAGACTGTAATTGCATTATTAACATTACAATAAATCCAACATGACATGAACATTGCATTAATACTACTCCCCTTCTATTCATCTAATTTCCTGCAATCTCTTCATTATACTTTGAATAAAAATGGCAAGGCCAACAACATGATGCAGCCCATAGTGAACCATCTCTGGCCAAAGCAAATAAGAGGCCCCTGAAGAATTAATCGAAGCGACAGAATCCTCTCAAACATCATCAATGCACGTCACTGGAAGTCATCGTCTCATTCTGCTAGCATTCATGTGCTAGATCTGATGGTCTTCAGATGAACACGGAATTAGCTCAGCGCACTCAGATGAATGGGCCGCCATGTGACTTTGACTGGGGGTCAAAACGGAATGACATGACAGCTCCTGGGCTCGCCTGAATGCTGCCTGCCTGCCTCTGATTGGTCCTTTATCGATTCCGACACATTCCTGGCCACATCGGCTGATCAAGCAATAAACTATTTGCTCAGTTTCCTACTGCACAACGAGTCGCTCGCTCCAAAGAGCTGCAAGCGTATGTACGTGTGTGGATGCCTCTAGACCCACACTTTATTTTAATTAAATGGTGTGTCTTGGTAGACTATAATCCTGGTAATAGGATTGAGTTGAGACACACGTCAATACAAGCAAATGGGATTGTGTGCTTTTAGGTCTCAGATTGTCTTCCAGGCTCATAATAGGTAATGTAGGGGGAGGTGAGAGAGATGGAGAGAGAATGGAGAAACATCAATCCAACATATCACTCAATTAGATTAAAGATTAAAGTCTATTTAAGGTCTGATGTTCAGTTCTAACCAGAGAGTTATGCAGGATGAGACGTTGTGCTGTTTACATGCATAGTTCACACAGTCGGCTGCTCTGAACCTACTGTTCCAACGTTGGATCCAATTTACCTGCAGAAGGGCTGCAAAAGAGCATTCCTATGAGGTGTAATGTCTGATGGGCCATTTGTTGGAGTTCATCTGGGCCTGTGGTCCTGGGTCCGCTTGAAAACTGGGGTCTGAGGTAAGTTCATGTGGACCCCAGAACAGTTCAAAGCAATCTGGCAGAAGTTAAGCACTACTGATAATGGATGTCTCAATGCTGCATGTCTTGTGCAGCAGATACACCTGTCAGCTGTTCTTTAGAAACAAGGGGACAAAATCATGAAAAGAGACCGGAAAGTCCGAAAGAGGTGGAATAAACACTTGTTCGGACAAAGCAAAGCAATGTGAAAACTGTCGGGAAACGGTCATTAGCTCATTAGTAGAGACTCCATAACCTGAAATGGGTTTATCAGACAAAGGAGATATGCAAAATGTTCAGTGTTGGGGCGGCTCTAGGAACATGCTTGAGAACCACTGATCTAAAAGTATTTCCCAACCCTGCTTTTGTAAACTTTTGATAAGTTCCTGTAAATTTACCAGAATTTTTTTTTTATACCAGGTTTGAAACACTGTTCTAGATCAGATTTCCAAACCCTGCTTCTGGAGGCACCCCAACACCACATATTTCCGAACTCTTCTTAATCAAACACACCTGGATCAACTCGTCAGCTCAGTAGATACTCCAAGATCTGAATTAAATGTGTCTGGTTGAAAAGAAATTGCACAATTCCAGCAATTTTCCAGAAACTTTCTAGAATTTTTGGAAACTTTCAAGGATTTTTTTTTTTACTCTCTGAAAATGTTGGAAATTTTTGGTAAGTTTCTGGAAATTTACCAGATTTTTTTTTGCCCCACTTGCAACCCTAAAGGAGACCTATTAAATGTGTGGTTCTGGAAGCCTCCAGGACAGGTTTGAAAAACTCTGATCTAGAACAATGTTTTTCTAAACCCTGTTCCTGGAGGAACCCCAACTCCACATATTTCCGAACTCTTCTTAATCAACTCATCAGGGGTGCATTTCTCAAAAGCAACTATGGTCGCAAGTTCCGTCGTTACCAATAGATTTCATTGGAACTAACTACCATAGTTAGCTAACGATGCTTTTGGGAATCGCACCCCAGTTCAGTAGATACT